CGAGTGAACATATTTATCAATTTTTCATCGATTTCATACAATGCCCACTTCAGAAAACAATTATCAGTATTATTTTGTACCATTGTTCTCAATGTGCGCCAGAAAAAAAATTCTGTAATACAAATAGTTTTAAAATTAACGTATAATGACTTCGAGTAGTTTATCAAAGTAATAAATCATCAAAAACGCTAGTCATGTTTTTTTGCTGCCAAGGTTATTTTGATTTAAAAAATTACATGGAAAATTACATTCATTTTTTATTAACTGGTGATTGCAAAAAATTGAAATCTTACGATGTGTCATACATTTTCAACCGTCAATCGGGTCGAAATAAAGTTGAAAAAACGCATTTCCGCAGGCCCTTTTGGCGCATCCAGATGTATTATCTAGGATATTTAAAAATATTGTTTTATACAATGAGGCATATCCTTTTCGAAGGTTCGAATCAATTTTTTATAAAACTTAAAACAACTTAGAAAGAGCCTCGCCAATTGCTGTCTGTTTTCGATAATTTATGGCAGATTCATATCTTCGTGTGTAGTGACGTCACGGCTAATCAGAAAGCGTTTCATAGATTCAAATATATAACTTTAAAAATAAAAAATAAAATAAAATTTATACTACTGTTAATATTAAATGTAACATTCATTATCATACAAAATATATATAATAAATACAAAAAGAAGCGCATACAAATTATCCTGTAGTGGCTGTGACGCTTATTACATTGGTCAGACTGGTAGAAACCTAAACATCATCTTCAATGAACATAAAAAATCAATAATTGATAAAAAACATAATTCGGGTATCGCTACTCATTGTATAAATTATAATCACTTCTTTAATAAATTAATACAATCATATGAGATGTTAGACTTACACTAAATACTTAGCATTCAAACTATTTCCACAAATTCATGTGCCTATAAAAAAATGAAAAACACACCCTTAATTTTACTAATATACTGTTGCCCTTGATAAAGGCGTAATTGTATCGAAACAATTGTCCAATTTTAATAAATTTTAAAAAATCGAACAAATGACGCGGTAAACGTCACCTGTAGTACGATGCTACATTTTAGGATTACGTATGCTTCAGCAAATATATGGATATCTACTTGCTGAAACGAATCCAGGCGTAGCTAACCTCAACATGATAGGCACGTTACCATAATCGAATAAAATAATTCGAAGTGGTCTGTATTCTGTCAAATCTGCCAGACGCGGATCGCGATTTCGATCTTTTTGGATCTCATCAGCGCGTCGTACGTAATGTATCGTACTACAGACGGCGTTTACCGCGCCATTTGTGGTAGACAGCAGGTAAAAGTTGGTCTGTGTTCTGTCGGAACTGTCTGCGACGCGCTAATGGGATCCAAAAAGATCGAAATCGCGATCCGCATCTGGCAGTTTCGACAGAATACAGACCACTTCGAATTATTTTATTCTATAATAAATTCTATTTGTGAAACATTAAAAGTGCTTTTATTGTTTTTTAAAATATTAAACAAAATTTTACAAACCGCCCACCAACTACACTGTGAATAATATTCAGTGACAATCTATTTTGTTAAAAATCTTTGAGTATTTAGTTTGTAAAGATGCAGCGAAATGATTTTGTTGTATATCTAACGGAAGGTCAACATCTGTTAGTACATAATCGGGTATTTTGTGTATATGCGTCTAAATGTTTGTGTGCGTTCAAATGATGATAGATTAAATTATTTTCAAATGTGTATTTTGTTGTATGGCCACGTGTGCAATCTCTTCCCATTAAATTATTATGTTATCTAGTAAATAAAATTTACGTGTTTTTTTACAATTTCGTAACTGGCACACGTTAGAAGTAGACGGCAGTAAAAAGTTTCCTCTATGTTTATTGGTGATAATAAAATGCATTTAAAATAGCAGAACAATGAGACTAAAACGAATTATTTTGGAAAATAATTACCCTAATATTTAAAAAGGCCGACTTTCGAGGCTAAGAAATTCTTCGAAAAAACTGTAGGGTTTTTTTATAATCTAACCTACATTCTGTAACTGAGTATTTTATCAGCTTTAAGATATTATCAAGCCAAGTGTAAACAAAAACACTCCAGACAGCTCGTGCTATTGTTTTAATTATCAGTTAAAAACACCTTGAGTGTCTCAACTGGAATATATAAACTAGGCAAACCTTTGCTATTTTGTTATTATACGTCTTTCCTTATCAAGAAACAACATGAAAATTCTTTTCACATTACTTTTAGGTAAAGCAATTTCTTTATTCTTTTTTGTTGTTTGTGCCTATTAGAACTGTAATGACAATAATTTTGCTTCATTGAAGTCGCTTTGATGGCTCTATCCTGGAGTTATGCCCAGAATTGTCCGAGTTGTTCGGTTCAGAACCGCCAACCTGTTTGTGCCGTTAATGGAAGAGGCAACAGAAAAACTTTCCCAAATTCTTGTTTTGTGGACTCAATCAATTGTGTGGAA